TAGGTTATAAACCTGGGTAGGTTATAAACCTACAAGTACAACCTAGGGGGGGGAAACGTTATTTTTACATTGTTGAATTTGAAACATTTATTTTACGAGTATCGTTAATTTTTACAAGGCAAACATTTTGTTGAAAACCAAATGTTTCTATCTCTTTTATTTTCGAAGTTAGGCCCCTACCAGTAAAGTTTCCTGGGTACAAACGCTTCTACTAAATCGCTCGCCCAAATTTTAAGAAAATTCTTGTGAAAAGGCCCTTTGGGCATGAAAGTGATCCAGATCGGTGTATTTTTGGACGCTGATTCCGAATCACCCCCCCCCCCCCCCCCCCCCCCCCCATGACGTAGGGTTAAAATGCTTTCCTGGAGAGTTATGGGCAAAAAACCGTTTTGGTCACGTGACAGGCTAGTAAAATACGAATTCGATTTACTAATTCGCTCGCCCAAAAATTTCAATTTTAACGTGACTTTGGTTTTTATGGTTTTGAAGCCGTACAAAACGGTTTTACATAAACCCTTCACATAGCCATGTGTATTCGCGTAATAATATAAAACAAATATTAATAAATAAAACAAATATTTATTTTTACGGCACAATCCACAATCAAACAATATCACTAACAAATAAATCAGGGGAGGTTTGAAGAAGTTTCAAGTGCCGAAAGCCACTGCTTATCTTTAGGATTTGAGAGTGACCTGTGCTTGAAACCCCCTCAGGCTCAACCATCCACTACGTCAATATACTTATTATACAAATATAGAAAAATATAATAATCTAAAATTGGAGGACTTCGACGCGCAAACTAGCATTCTTGCTTCGTCGATCGTTGCTCTGCTTCGCAAAGCAACGATCTCGATCTCGATGGGTTGACCATTGACACTGTCAATATGGATAACATCTAAAATTGCTTATTTGGTATTGGTCTAGTTTGGTGACACATGAGGAGAGCCCAGTTTAGTTTTAGTTTGGGTTTAGGTTAATTGACGATGTCAATTCATCTCAGCGCGGCACAGTAGCGCATCTCGCCGATCTAGAGAGGAATTGAGGAATTCCAGCAAGATACGCGCCAAATGACGCGCAGTTCTAGTTGCGGAGTAAATATGTCAACGATTACTTTACACACTAATATCATTATAATTTGGCGTGACCGGTGATAGTATGGAAAGAAAAACACGTGTATAATAGTAGAGATTACTAAGCAAGATTAAGTATACTTTTAGTGTAATATGTAGGCTGTTAACAGCAGGGATTTAGCATAACTTTAATGCTGATAGAATTAGAAGGCAAATGTCTCAAGATAAATATCTTTTCCAGATTATTTAACACTGTTCCACGTATCTGATTAGAAAACTGAATAAGAATTGTTTTTTATGGATGTTTGATAATTTTAAGAATCCATTGGCGTTATTGATTTATTCATTGTGTAAGGAATGCTTTCAAGAAAAGTAAAACAAACATCTCTGAACTATATCACTAATAAGGAAAATGCTATCGGTCAACTAATAAATTGAAGAGATAAACAAAATCATGAAACGATTACGGGTGCAAAATGATTTTTGAAAGACAAAGCGAGAAATCCCTTAAATATATGAAGATATGAAATGAAAAACCAAGAAATAGGGTTGATTTTTGAAAGAAATGAACTTAATAACAAATAAGTTTATTTCTTCTCTTTAAAACCATTAATGGACCCTTTACCATGTGCAAAACAAGCACGGAAACCGTCTACAATTTCTTGCCTGTTCCCGATGAAGTTTGAGTACCGTTGCCGAACGTGTTTAACACAAAATGGCAATGTCCAATCTCTATTACACGGCCCAGTGTTAAATTTTCCTTGCATTGACCAGAAGGTGGCAGAAGAGAAGGTAGTAGACTTTACTTTTATGTGGGTCTTCTTCTCTTTGGTGCTGCCATCAGGACACAGCAGCTCCATTGTGGCTGGTACGTCAGCTCCATCCATCTTGTACTTGTCTACCAGTCCAAACACTAAAGCTGCTCCGGGCACTGGAAAAGCTACACTCATCCCTACCAAAGACTGGTGAGCCACTTCTTTTGTCGTAGATTCTGATTTGGAGACGGTTCGGGATCCTCCGAACCCAACAGAAACACCCATGGTCACCGAACTTCCTGCTCCAAACACCTTGGCAGCTGCCTCCACTTCCACTGTCACCGACACGCCCCAGTTATCCTCGTTACTCTCCCCGAACTCAAGCGTGGTCGATTCCGTGACTGTCCTCGAGTGTTGCATGCTCAGGGTATAGGTGGACGGGCCAGTGCACGTGCCACCATCGTTAGCGCCGATAACCTCTGTTGATTCGTATCTGGGCGTCAACAAACCCTGGGACCCCACCCTGACTTTCTGTACAGTACACTTTGGGTGGTAGCTGGCACAGAGAGGTCGCAGGGAGGTGTAGTAATCATTGTGTGCCACTATGTTATGACATTCGTTCTCTTTTATCACCCATCTAACTCCTGTAAAGAGGTAGTGTTCGTATAACTCCCAGTCCCCCTTAACAGCGCACGCCGAGCTAATCTTGTCGTTCCAGTCGTTCAAGTACGATTCATCCTTCGTGTAGGACTTCTTGTTGCCACGGTGGTCACCATGCTCCCAAACTTCTAGCAGGGCATCATTAGCATCCCCTGTGTAAATACAGGTAGGTCGAGCTGAGGAGACTGCGTCGTTGAAGGTTCCCCCCAAGTTGTTGTAGTGACGACCACCTTCCACTACCATCCTCAGCCCTTCAAAGTTCCAGTTAGAGTACAGTTCCCAGTTCCCGTCAGCTCGTGCACTGGATGCTGCATCATTAAAGTGGACATTTCCAAGCCAATCTACAGGTTCAGTCAGTCGTACCTTGTTTCCATTGGTATTGTCGTGCTCGTAGAGGTCCAGCCAGATAGCGCACGAAGCGGAGAGCAGAGCGAGAAGAGAGAGGGATTGAAGCATCTTTGCGAGGTTGCTTGATACAAATTATAAGATTTCGTGTTGAGCTAGCTGGTTAAATAAACATCTATCACACTGGTATAAATTCCGTGGTGATGATGGCAGGAGATAGGGTGCAACATGGAAATGTGTCATGAGGGTCCTCTTTGTGTCCCCCCCCCCCACTCTTTGTGTTCGTCCCTTGATTGACGCACTTTAACGCAAGATGAAAGGGTTTGGAAGATTAAAAGCGTCTGAGCCGATATCTACACTCATGCGGTTTAAAAATTGAGCTACTGAACTTGGACTTTATTTTAACGGACAGTAATTGGACGCTGGAGACCCTAGCGTTCATTTTATTTCAACAGACATTAAAATGAACGCTAGGGTCTCCAGCGTCCAATTAAAGTCCGATAAGGTATTTACCACAATGCTAACACTGTATGGTATGGGGTACATGCTGCTAATAAAGACTGTGTTTCAGACAGATTACATTTCCATGTTGGTGCTTCATGAGCAGTGTAACCCATTTGTAGCGGTCCTTTTGAAGACTCATGACCAGTAGAACAATTGAAATAAGCGGCTCTGTTAGATTAAGTACGTCATGATAGTACCATCGAACAGTTTTATTAACAAGAATTGCGCTGGTTAGCGGAGGCTAGATTTCTATCAACCGTAGGCATTGCCTTTTAAAATTTTAAATAAAAATCGTTTCATGTTGGTCAAAATATCACATAACCCTTCTTCATTGGGTTATCCAGGTAACCCGATAACCAGGTAACCAGGTAACCTGGATACACTTATCCGGGTAACCAGGTAACCAGGTGACGAGGTAACCAGGTAACCAGGTAACCAGGTAACCAGGTAACCAGGTAACCAGGTAACCATGTAACCTGGGGACACCTCTCCAGATAACCAGGTAACCAGGTAAACAGATAAACAGGTAGCCAGGTAAACAGGTAACCAGGTAACCAGGTAAACAGGTAACCAGGTAACCAGGTAAACAGGTAACCAGGTAACCAGGTAAACAGGTAACCAGGTAACCAGGTAAACAGGTAACCAGGCAACCAGGTAACCAGGTAACCAGGTAACCAGGTAACCAGGTAACCAGGTAACCAGGTAACCAGGTAACCAGGTAACCAGGTAACCAGGTAACCAGGTAACCAGGTAACCAGGTAACCAGGTAACCAGGTAACCAGGTAACCAGGTAACCAGGTAACCAGGTAACCAGGTAACCAGGTAACCAGGTAACCAGGTAACCAGGTAACCAGGTAACCAGGTAACCAGGTAACCAGGTAACCAGGTAACCAGGTAACCAGGTAACCAGGTAACCAGGTAACCAGGTAACCAGGTAACCAGGTAACCATGTAACCTGGTTACCTGGTTACCTGGAGACACCTCTCCAGGTAACCAGGTGACCGGGATACACTTATCCAGGTAACCAGGTAACCAGGTAACCAGGTAACCAGGTAACCAGGTAAACAGGTAACCAGGTAACCAGGTAACCAGGTAACCAGGTAACCAGGTAACCAGGTAACCAGGTAACCAGGTAACCAGGTAACCAGGTAACCAGGTAACCAGGTAACCAGGTAACCAGGTAACCAGGTAACCAGGTAACCAGGTAACCAGGTAACCAGGTAACCAGGTAACCAGGTAACCAGGTAACCAGGTAACCAGGTAACCAGGTAACCAGGTAACCAGGTAACCAGGTAACCAGGTAACCAGGTAACCAGGTAACCAGGTAACCAGGTAACCAGGTAACCAGGTAACCAGGTAACCAGGTAACCAGGTAACCAGGTAACCAGGTAACCAGGTAACCAGGTAACCAGGTAACCAGGTAACCAGGTAACCAGGTAACCAGGTAACCAGGTAACCAGGTAACCAGGTAACCAGGTAACCAGGTAACCAGGTAACCAGGTAACCAGGTAACCAGGTAACCAGGTAACCAGGTAACCAGGTAACCAGGTAACCAGGTAACCAGGTAACCAGGTAACCAGGTAACCAGGTAACCAGGTAACCAGGTAACCAGGTAACCAGGTAACCAGGTAACCAGGTAACCAGGTAACCAGGTAACCAGGTAACCAGGTAACCAGGTAACCAGGTAACCAGGTAACCAGGTAACCAGGTAACCAGGTAACCAGGTAACCAGGTAACCAGGTAACCAGGTAACCAGGTAACCAGGTAACCAGGTAACCAGGTAACCAGGTAACCAGGTAACCAGGTAACCAGGTAACCAGGTAACCAGGTAACCAGGTAACCAGGTAACCAGGTAACCATGTAACCTGGTTACCTGGAGACACCTCTCCAGGTAACCAGGTGACCGGGATACACTTATCCAGGTAAAACCCAAGAATTCCTGAGCTGGATACACCAATGATGTAACCTTTAGCTTTGATAGAGATATCATGTGACAACATGTAAATGTGTCCTGAAGTAGTTCATTGTATACACTTGTTCAGTAGACACCCTTTGAGGACTCATGGAACCGACTAGACGATGGAAAAAGTGGTGTCGACTAAACGCGTTAATCAGGCAGATACTACCCTCGTACAATTATTAACTTACTACTAATAATACTGGAGTTAGCTGCAGTGCAGTTATACCATCTGCAATGAAGGGCTTATCAAGTTGGACTCTTTAGGAAGCACCACTTGGGAGCCTGCAATGATAGGGTCCTGTTGACAACCACATTTTTGAAGGAAGCTCAAATTTTACCTTAATTTTTGGTTCTTTGAAGAACCCCCTACAAGTAACGTCCAACCAACTCTTACTTGGTCACATTTCTGATTTTGTACATTACCAAATATGGGAAATATAATCCAAAAAATAGTACATTTTGGATGATAGCATTGAAATTCTATCGATTTTCTAACACTGTACGGTATACCAGTATGGGGTACCTGCTGCTAATAAAGACTGTGTTTCAAACACGATACATTTCCATGTTGGTGCTACATAATCAGTGTAACCCATAATTTTTAGCGTTCCCTTCAACGACTCAAGACCAATAAAACAATTAAAATAAGCGGCTCTGTAAGATTAAGTACGTCATGATAGTTTACCCTCGTACAGTTTAATTAACAAGAATCGCGCCGGTTAGCGGACGCTAGATTTCCATCAACCGTAGGCATTGCCTTTTAAAATTTTAAATAACAATCGTTTCATGTTGGTCAAAATATCAAATAACTCTTCTTCATTCATCTCTTATTGCTAAATATTAGTGGGGGGGGGGGGGGCTGTTATTACACTCCAACCGTCCAAGCAGTGATGTAACTGCTTAATATAGCACATGTTTTGAATGATCAAGAAAACCACTGTATGTATTATATATCTGAACAGAACATAATTTACCTACGCTACAATATTCGAAGACTCACCATGTATAATAATTAATCTCAGCAATAATGGATAGTAATCCGAACGGCCGGCCTGGTAACATTGTAATGTATCTCTTGACATTATGACATATATTAATGATATTGAAATACGATATTTTGGGGAAATATGTTATGATCGGACTCATCGGCCTATGCTGCTCAGAAGTAGAACCTAAATAGTCGAACAAGCATATTAAACCAATTTCAACATTCAACAAACATGCTACTTCATAAATCAATGATTGGAAATTGAAATATCAAAATTGTACAGTGATCTTGACTTACCCTTATTATAAGGGCCTTATAAAATATATATTATATATATGTACAATGTACATATATTAAATCAGTTTCTGTATAAAAGCGTTTAAACCGGCGTTGAAAGTTTTGAAGTTCATGTAAAAGAGGACATTAGTTTCTAGTAACTGAATTAACTTACACAAACTCAAACAAGTCAGTCGAGTTTCTGTATTTGCCTAATAAGCTGGTAATCGTACCGTTCCCAATGTTAATGATAAGATTCCTGACCTTCAATTTGCTGAGTAATAGATCAAATGGAATTAATGAATTAATATTAAATGGTTTCAGCCCATGATTGCTTAATTACTACAAAACATAACAGGTTCTTAGTTCTAAAACGACAACTGTTCCATGTTCTATCAAAATTGAGAAGAAACATAACTAAAGCTCAAAAGATAGATTCTTGAAATTACTGATATCTCTTCCTAGCAACCAAGTTGCAGTTTTATGTTTTAGACCTACAAGTTACAACCAAGGACTAGGAGAGTACAAAATTAAGGCCACGGTCCTTTTAAGTTTCAATTGTTTAATATTTGCTGAGAGTACGACTTAGACTCTTAGTAAAACGGGACTAAGACACCGATAATAGTTAAATACCGATTAAACGATTGGTATTGGTCAATATTTGGTTGTGATATTGTGACTATTGAAGTTAACACTCTTCCTTGGGGAAGAATAACATTAAAAAACACTTACTAGTGTACTGCTACGCAAATCAGCTGGTTCATAAGATTAATGAAAAAAATTAGCATACACGATTTAAAATAGAAGTAGCAACGTAATCGAAAGACAAACTGAACAAATGATAATTTCGCCTTGAAACGAGCTATATATTGAGTATAACTGATAACGTAGCGCTTGACTCCAAATGGAATTCAAATAATAATGCGCTTCGGTAGTTTCAACTCCCAGCAGCTGGGAGTTGGAAAACTGGAATTCCCGTTACTGTCGCTGTAAGAAGCCTCATTGAGTGCGCGGCGCGGTACAGTAACGCATTGCGCTACAGCATACAAGGCCTTTTTACAAGAATTTTGTTAAAATTTGGGCGAGCGATTTATGTATTAGTAGGAGCGCCGCAGGGATTTATTTACTAATATAACGCGAAACAAGCAATACTCGAAAAATATTTACTGGGCGGCGCTCAGTTTGTAGCGCGATGCTCTACTGTGCCGCGCCGCGCAATCAATGAGGCTTCTGTGCCTCGCCGAGCTGCGATGAATTGACATCGTCAATTAAGCGCTCAGCCTGTTATTTCGCCGCATCTTAAATATAAAAGCGTAGAAGTTGAGGGTTCCTTAGCTATAGGTGATAAAATATTAGTTTCAAATATAGATTGTCAACGATTTT